CCGGAGGCCGGCGGAGCGCTGCCCACTCCAGGAGCCGGGCCGGGTCCCTGAGGAACGACGGGCTTGGACGAGTCCTGTGGCGGCGGCGGCGGCTGCTGATGCGGCGGCTGATGCGGCGGTGGCTGAAGTGGCGGCGGCTGCTGTGGTGGCGGCTGCTGCGGTGGTGGCTGCTGCTGTTGCTGGTGCGGAGGCGGTGGTGGGATTGGGGGCTTGGGGCCACCCTGGCCCGGGCCGGGCCCCATGGGTCCGCGGTTCTGATTGAGGCCCATGCCGGGCGGCGGAGAGCGGAAGTCGTGGAGGCCGCCGCGGCCGCCGCCTCCTCCGCGCCGGTGGAAGCCGCCACCGCCACCGCCACGGCTCCGGAACCGATCCCGAGACATGTCTGTAATCAAGGGGCGGTCGAGGCAGAAGCGGAGAAGACGCTCTGGGAACGTGGAGGCCACCTTGCTTCGCACAAGATGGCGGATGACACAGGCGGCGCGCCGCCTTTGTCCTCCTCTTATATAGGCCAGCTGGCTTGGCCCCGCCTACTTCTCGATCTGTAGCTCCAATAGCCAATTGCAAGTACGGTACTTGATGACACAAAGTTACGGAACGCTAATCTTTCCGATTGGCTTCCGGATGAGAGGAGGGAGGCTTGGAGGGGCTGAAGTTTCCAGTTGGCCAATGAGCAGAAAAGGAGTTGGCTGCAGGCCACTGTGATTTGCTGTGAGAAATTTGAATGGGTTCGCCAGAGCAGTTTTCCCTGATAAGCCACGGCCCTATCAGCTCCTGGGTAGAGATGTTAGAGGACCCTTTTCTTTGTTGATTACTCCCAAGAGCTGCCTCCGGGTATCCTTGCCCTGAAAGAACAGCTGTTCTCCGTTCTCGGGTTCAAAAGCATAAATTACGTGTATCTACTATCTACTCTACCTTGTTCTGGGCCAATTAAACTTGAGAACTAAAATCTTACCGATTTCACACACCCAAGCTTACTGATTTCATTTTGGAACCTCAGCGGAGTACAGATTTGTTCTAGCAGTATAAATTTGGGAATAGGCTTAAGTTAGTGAACTCTTTGTTAAAAAAGGAAGTTTTGACTGTGTGAGCGTGTGTGTAGACTAGTAATTTACAAGCACAAGTCACAGGAGGAATATAACATTTTCCTTAATTCCTAGCACTCAATACTTTGTAGACAGATTAAGATACTTCCAAATTACAACGTTAAAATATCTGTATGGGACGGGGCGCCTGGGTGGCGCAGTCGGTTAAGCGTCCGACTTCAGCCAGGTCACGATCTCACGGTCCGTGAGTTCGAGCCCCGCGTCGGGCTCTGGGCTGATGGCTCAGAGCCTGGAGCCTGCTTCCGAGTCTGTGTCTCCCTCTCTCTCTGACCCTCCCCTGTTCATGCTCTGTCTCTCTCTGTCCCAAAAATAAATAAACGTTGAAAAAAAAAAATATCTGTATGGAATCAACCAATGGGCACCATCCTTCTTCCTTCGTACAGCATCTTCTAACAGTATCCCTTAACACCCTTCCTAGTTACTGTCATCTATGGACCTTTTGATGGATCGATCATTCCTCCCTCAATTAATACTAGGCCATGGCTCATTGTCCTCCTCTCCATCTCTATTTCTGCTCATCATTCAACATCTAGGTGGATGAATACCCAATACTCTGTCAATTCTTTACCTCCAACAATCTTCTATCCTATAGTAGCTACCCAACCCCCATCATAGTCGCCCTGTGTTTGTTATTGCCAGTAACTACACCATCTCTAAAATCTCCATTTCAAGAATCTCAATTGTCTGATCAGTAACTGTAACTGTCCAATCAGTACCTCTTGATTCTTTGACTTCCTCAAAACCTCCAAATCATTAAATGTACTGCTTTTTCACTATCTCTCATGTTCTTATGGTCATAACTTGTGTCACCAGGTTTAGATGTCATGATTGTCTTGTTTTCCTCTTTCTCCATTACACTAATCCCAATCCTCACCTTCTAAATGAGAGCTGAGGCTTTCAATTTAAGTTCTTGACCACAAACCTCAAAAGGGCATTAGACTTTTTCTGGCATCTTACTGAATTTCACTAGTAAATTTACTTTCTCACTTCCCTTCTTTCAGAGATAGAGTATTTCATGCTTTTTCTCTTCAAACTCCTACACATTCTTCTCTCACTCCACCATAATGAATTCTCCTATTTTGGGGGGAAAATAAAAATCATCAGAGAGCAACATTCTCATCCAGCTGGAAAGCCTCAAGCCTACTTGCATTTCTTTTTTTTAATGTTTATTTATTTTTAAGAGAGCGAGAGACAGAGCATGAGCAGGGGAGGGGCAGAGAGAGTAGGAGACACAATCCGAAGCAGGCTGCAGGTTCCAAGCTGACACCAGCAAGCCCAACTCGGGGCTCAAACTCACAAACCATGAGATAATGACCTGATCTGAAGTCAGACACTTAACCAACTGAGCCACCCAAGGCCTACTTGCATTTATACCTATCTTTTCTGTCTTCCTTCCTGATACCATGAAAGATGTGTCTTTGCCCCTATCAAAGGGCAGACTCCCCCTTCTAGTATATGGATCCCACCCCCTCATGTCTTCTCAAGGATTTTTCCTTGCTGTATCATTACTTCTATTGGAATATTACCACCTTTAAAATTTTTTAAATTAATTTTTTATTTTTTGAGAGAGAGAGAGCTAGAGCATGAGTGAGGGAGGGGCAGAGGGAGAGAGAGAATCTTCAGCAGGCTCCACTCCCAGCACAGAGCCCGATGCCAGGCTCAATGTCACCACTAGGAGATCATGACCTGAGCCAAAATCGACTCAGTCATTTAACCAACTGAGCCACCCAAGCGCCCCTGGAACATTGCCATTTTCAAAATAAACAAAACCTTCCTTTTAGTCTATCATCTCATTACTTCATTCCTCTTTACAACAAAACTAAAACAAATCTACACTAGAGGTCTCCAGTTCCTCACCTCAGTTTCCTCTTAAATCCACCCCAATTGGCCCACTCTTCTCCTTTAAGGATTCCTTGCCAAGGATGCCAGTGATCCACATGTTGCAAAATCCAATAAACACTTCTCTATACTAATCTCGGGGCACCTGGGTGGCTCAGTCGATTGGACATCTGACTCTTGATTTTGGCTCAGGTCATGATCTCGTGGTTCGTGAGTTCAAGCCCTGAGTTGGGTTCTGTGCTGGCAGCACAGAGCCTACTTGGGATTCTCTCTCTCTTTCCCTCTCTGTCTTTCCCCTGCTCGCTCGCTCTCTCAAAACAAATAAATAAACATTTAAAAAAATCTATACTGGGGCACCTGGGCGGCTCTGTCGGTTGAGTGTCTGACTCCTGACTTCGGCTCAGGTCATGATCTTATGGTTTGTGGGTTCAAGCCCCACGTCAGACTCTGCATTGACAGCACAGAGCCTGTTTAGGATTCTCTCTCTCTCTCTCTCTCTCTCTCTCTGCCCCTCCCTCCCTCCTCTATAAATAAATAAATACATAAATACATACATAAATAAACTTTAATTTAAAAAAAATCTAGGGGCGCCTGGGTGGCTCAGTTGGTTAAGCATCCAACTTTGGTTCAGGTCATGATCTCACAGCTTGTGAGTTCAAGCCCCGTGATGAGCTCTGTGCTGACAGCTCAGAGCCTGGAGTCTGCTTTGGATTCTTTGTCTCCGTCTCTGTCCCCCTCCCCTGCCCACACTCTGTCTCTCTCTTTCAAAAATAAACATTAAACATTTTTTAAATAAAAATTAAAAAAATCTATACTTGTCTCTTCTTACCTATTAGCAACCTTCCACATAGATGGCCCTCTGTCTTTCGTGAAACACCTCTCACTGGCCTCTGTGACACCACACTCATGATTTTTCTCCTGCTTCAGTGATCCCTCTCCGTTGCTGACTCCTCACTCATAAGACTTCTAAATGCTGAGATATTTTGGCATTCATTTCTGGGTACTCTTTAACAACTGTTCTCTACTTATGTAGATAACCTTTTCAAGACCAAATACCATCTAAATTTATATTTCCATAGTAGAGTAGATCTGTCCTCTGAGTTCCCAAGTCAGATAGTCAACTTGGAGGTGTTACTGGCATGTCCGATCTAGTATATGTAAGCTGGAGCTCTTGATTTTTATCAACCTAACCAGTTCCTCACCAGAATCTTCCCCAGCATAGTAATTAGCATCGCCTAGTTGTTAAAAAACAACAAGTATTCATCCTCTTCATAAAACCCCCAAATCTGTTCTACCTACAAAGTATATCTTGAATCCATTTACCTCTCTCCATCTCTACCACTACAACCTAATTTTTTTCACCTCCATCTCATACCTAAAATTAACTCAACCACTTTTCAACTTGTCTTCTTCCTCTCTTTCTGGGTGCTCTCTGATCCATTTTCTTCTTCTTCTTCTTTTTTATAATGTTTATTTTATTTTGAGAGAGAGAGAAAGTGGGGAAGGGGCAGAGAGAAAGAGGGAGAGAATCCCAAGTAGGCTTTGTGCTGTCAGCACAGAGCCTGACTTGGGGCTCTATCTTACACATGAAATCATGACCTGAGTTGAAATCAAGAGCTGAACGCTTAACTGACTGAGCCACCTAGGCGCCCCCTCTAATCCATTTTCCATGTGGCAGCTAGGGTGATCTTTTAAAAAACATAATTCAGATGTCATTTTCCTCCCTTAAAGGCCCTCCAGTGGTTTCCATTGCTCTTAGAATAAAATCTGAACACCTTACCAAGATTACAAGGCCTGACTTGGTCTGACCCCTGTTTGCTTTCCCAGTTGTTTTTTTTAAAATATTTTTTAAAATTAAATTCTACCCCCAACATTGGTAGGGATCAAGAACTCACAACCCTGAGATCAAGAGTTGCATGCTGTACTCACTGAGCCAGCCAGTGACTGCCCCAACCCAGTCTTATCTCTCTAGTTCTCTGACTCCTTTCACTTGTTGTTCTTAGGATTTATCGAGTTACTTCGTCTTTATGCTTTTTGCCCCAGGGTATTTGGACTTGCTGCTTACTCAGCCTGAAGCACTGTTCCCCCACAACTTTCTGCAGTTATAGCTTTCTTCATTCTTCTATCTCAGCTTGAACGGCACCTCAAAAAGCCTTCACTGCCAATCACCACATCTGAAATAAGCCTCTGTTATGCCATCCTGTACATCGGTGTAATGTATAGAATAGCTCTCTTCACACATTGTACTTGTGTATTTCTTCACTTGTTTACTGTCGATCTCCTGTTAGACTGGGATTCTGAGTCTGAGTTCTTTAAGACTGTACCACTGGTAGCTAACACAGACACTAACACAGAAATGCTTCATAAATATGTGTTGAATGAATGAATGAAAGCATAACTCTGAAGAATGGGCTTTGGTTCCATCTCAAGGGCTACAT